ATTATTTTGGCACGGCGCCGGTCCCACCAGCCACCGCGTTCCCTCCGCCCCGACCGCTTTATTTCGGCACGGCACCGCCCCCCCTCCCCACCGGCCAGCGCGCCCCCTCCGCCCCGACTTCTTGATCCAACAGCCAGCGCGCCCGCTCCGCCCCGACCGCTTCATGTCGGCACACCAGTCCCACCAGCCAGCGCTCCCCTTCCGCCCCAACCGCTGTATTTCGGCACCGTGCCGCCCCCTCCCCCACCAGCCAGCGCGCCCCCTCCGCACCGACCGCTTTATTTCGGCACGCCCCCAACCCACCCCCCCACCCCCCCGCACCCCCCGCGCAGTCAGCTCCTCCACCTCGACCCCAGCGCGGGCCTCCCGCCCCGACCGCTTCATTTCAGCAGGGCACTGGCCCCGCCAGCCAGCGCGCCCCCTCCGCCCCGACCGCTTCATTTCGGCACGGCACCGTTCCCCCCTCCCCCACCAGCGAGCGCACCCCCTCCGCCCCGACTTCTTTATTTCGGCACGGCGCTGCCCCCCCCCGCCACACTCCCCGCGCAGTCAGACCCTCCGCCTCGACTTTTTTATTTCGGCACGGCACTGGTCTCCCCCACCTTGGGCCCCCTCCGCCCCGATTTCTTCATTTCGGCACGGCGACGACCTTGTGAGGGGTATGCCGACATGGGCGCGCGGTAAGCGGAGAGGACGCATGCGGACGCGGCCACTGGGTCATTCGGTGGAGCTTTTATCGGGCCACGAACCGTGTGAGAGGTGTGCCGAAATGGGCATGCGGTGGGCGCGGAGGGCGCTTGCGGGCGCGGCCATTGTGGCATTCGGTGGAGCTCCGTATGGGGCCACGAACCGTGTGAGGGGTGTGCCGAAATTGACATGCGGTGGGCGGGGAGGGCGCATTCGGACGCGGCCATTGGGGCCTTCGGTGGAGCTCCCTATGGGGCCACGAAAGGTGTGAGGGGTGCACCGAAATTGACATGCGGTGGGCGGGGAGGATGCATGCGGACGCGGTCACTGGGGCCTTCGGTGGAGCTCCCTATGGGGTCATGACCGTGTGAGGGGTGTACCGAAATTGGCATGCGGTGGGCGGGGAGGACGCATGCGGACGGGGCCCTTGGGTCATTCGGTGGAGCTCCCTATGGGGCCACGAACCGTGTGAGGGGTGTGCCGACATGGGCATGCGGTGGGCGGGGATGACGCATGCGGACGCGGCCATTGGGGCATTCGGTGGAGCTCCGTATGGTGCCGCGAACCGAGTGACGCGTGTGCCGACATGGGCATGCGAGGAAGGAGGGAGGGAGGAGGGAGGAGGAGGAGAGGAGGAGGAGGAGGAGGAGGAGGAGGGGGAGTGAGAACGCGCGGCGCTGTCTCTTCAAAACGAGGACTCAACATCACAGGATGGTTGGGAACACCAAAAAAGAACTACAGAAAAATGTCCTCGCGCTCTTGCGAATCCTTACGGAAACCACTGATGTTTCAATTGTGTCTTTAAATTATGCCAGGCGGGCGTCTCGCGCCACATGCCGAAATCCTTCGAACGGCCTTGCGCGCGTGCTGGGGGGGGGGGGGGGGCACGGTCCGTGTCAAATAACACAATGCGGGCCACTCTCCCGCGTCGGCCGTGCGCGCATGTCGAACTCTTTCCCAAGCCTCCATCACCGACGCGAAGACGCCGTCATCGTCGTCGGCGTGATCAGCGTCGGCGCCGTCGCTGGCCGTGCCGTCGTCGCCGTCAGCATCGTCACCAGCATCGCTATTATCATCATCGTGTCTACCGCTGTCGTCGTTGTCATGATACCGCGCCCGCCCAAGCCGCCAGCTCGCACTGAAGTGCCCGCTGGGATGTGCCGAGCGGTCAGCACCACCGCGGCCGCGTCGTTCGCGCCGAACTAGTTGGCCGCTGCGCACGAGCGCATGCGCGGGCTAGCGCGGCCGCAGAGATGCACCAGCCAACACCAAGCACACATCGCAATCGCTTCCGCAAGGGTTGTGTTAACCAAGTTGCGGGTGGGTGGGCGGGAGGATTGCGCGGGAAGTGGAGTTGGCAAGTTCAAGCTGCTGAGTAGTGGTGAGCTGCACCGCACAGCTTTGCACCAGATACAGTGCACCATATAGAACGCACAATATGGTTAGTGCACTGTATAGGTTGCACCGCACGTATTGCATCACAGCGATTGCATCACATCGGGTGCACCACATGGATTGCACCACGTAGCTTGCGCAGCATATTTTACACCACACGTGTCGCACCACATGTTGCACCAGTTTTATTACACAGCATAGATTACACAACATAGGTTGCGCCACATATATTGCACTATACATATTGCACATCATAGATTGCACCGCAGCCATTGCACAACATGGGTTGTTCCACCGATATTGCACATTATCCCAGAGCGACCCTCCCTAGGAGTTGGAGCCCCGAGGAGAGCAATATTAGTCGTAAGTTATGCTACGCTACGCTACGCTATGCTATGCTATGCTGCGCTGTGTGATGCTAATCTATGCTATGCTATGCTATGCTATGCTATGCTGGGTTTTGCTTTGTCTTGCTTTGCGGTGCACCCAGCGACAGCAGGCTGTTCAGCACTGCTCGCGGCTCCTGCAAGTGCTGCAGGCTGTTCACCACTGCTTGCACTAGGTTCAACACTGCTCGCGGCTCCTGCAAGAACTGCAGGCTGTTCAGCACTGCTTGCAGGGGCTCCGGTCCGACCATCGAGGCTAGCTCGGCACCTGTCGCACATTGTTGTTGCGTTGCCTTTGCTTTGTTGTTGCGTTTGCTTTGCTTTGCTTTGCGTTGCTTGTGTTTTGTTTTGCTGTTGCTGCTGTTGCTTTGCCTTTGCTTTGATGCTATGATATGTTATGATATGCTATGCTATGCTATGATATGCTGCGCTGTGCTATGCTATGCTATGCTATGCTATGGTGCGCTGTGCTAACCTAAGCTATGCTATGATATGCTATGGTATGCTATGCTATGCTGCGCTATGCTATGTTATGCTATGCTATGTTGCGCTATGCTATGCTGCGCTGTGCTATGACATGCTATGCTATGCTATGATATGCTAATGCTGCGCTAAGCTAGGCTAAGCTGAGCTAAGCTAAACGAAGCTGAGCTGAGCTAAGCTAGGCTAAGCTAAGCTAAGCTAGGCTAAGCTAAGCTAAGCTAAGTTACGCTAGGCGAAGCTAAGATGAGATAAGCAACGCTAAGCTAAGCGGACGTATCTGGGGGAACCGCGGGGCGGATACTGGGGGAACCGCCCGGGGCGCTTTCCACTGCCCGGCCCCTTTTAAGCCCAGAGAGTAAGAACCCTGCTAGGCAGAGCCTAGGTAGGGAGTTATATGTTGCTAGAAACACACTGTGTGGGGTCCACGCTGGCTAACATTCAGGGAAGAAGCAAGACCCTGTCGGTGCAACAACTGCTGAATTATCCCAGTGCGACCCTACCTAGGAGTTGGAGCATGTAGGAAAGCAACATCTACATCTACACCGACAGCTACATTTACATCTACACCTGCATCTACATCTACATAAACATCAACAGCGAGACTCACATCTACATCTACGTCTACACCTACATTTACACCTACATCTACATCTACATCTACACCTACATCCACATCTACACCTACAGCTACATATACATCTACGCTGTCGCATTGGGTTTGTTTTTGCTATGCTATGCTATGCTATGCTATGTTGCGCGTTGCTATGCTATGTGTTGCTATGCTTTGCTATGGTATGCTATGATGCGCTCTGATATGCTATGCCATGCTGCTGAGCTATGCAATGCGATGCTTGATTATGCTATGCTATGCTGTGCTAATGCGGAGCTGCGCTAAGCTGAGCGAAGGTAAGCTCAGCTATGCTAAGCTAAGCTACGCTAGGCTAAGCTATGCTAGGCTAAGCTAAGCTAAGCTAAACTAAGTTAAGCCAAGTTAAGCTAAGCTAAGCTAAGCTAAGCTAAGCTAAGCTAGGCTAAACCTAGACGAGATAAGCTAAGCTAAGCTAGGCTAGGCAAAGCTAAGCTAAGTTTAGCTTAGCTTAGCTGGGTGAACCCAGGGGGCGCAACTGGGGGAACCGCGGGGCGGATACTGGGGGAACCGCCTGGGGCGCTTTCCACTGCCTGGCCCCTTTAAGCCCAGAGAGTAAGAACCCTTCTAGGCAGAGCCTAGGTAGGGAAAGAAGAAGAACGATGGCCGCCGTCTTTCCCGCGACGCTTGCAGATCTCGGAAGGAGGGTAAAGGAAGACAAGGATGAGGAGGGGGAGGAGACCGAGGATGAGAAGGTGTGTCTCCACCAGGTGATAGGAAAACTCGAGGCCACGGACGACACCATCCGAGTCGTGGACCACTGCCTCCTCAAGATCGCGGCCGTCGAGAACAAGCTGCTCGACTGCCTGAGGAAGCACGAGGCCTGTGTGCGGTCGGCCACCCCGAGGGCCAGCGTCGAGGCTCAAGTTTTGTGAGCGTTTGTTTGAACCTCTTCGGCCTCTTGGGAGGCCTCCGCGTCGCCGCGGTGGGATCCGCCTCGGAGGCTTAGTCAGAGAGCGCCTCTGGACACGATAGCGGGTTGGCCTTGAGGCCCAGGGCCAGGACCTCCAGGCGTAGCGTGAACAGACACGACGTGCGTCGCAGCTTGGGGCCCGCAGCGAGAGGCTGGTCCTGGGGCCCCGGAGCAGGAGCTCCAGGCCCGCGTCGTGAAAAAGGGCGCGACGCTGCAGAGGTCCAGGTCAAGGGGCCCAAACGAGACGAGCCAACTGGCGGAGAACTAGCAGCTTTCATCACTTAGGATCGTGAAACAGCGTGTGCGCGTGGGATCGCCATTGGGAGGCGGCCCTTGGCCTTGTTCGCTTCCCTGGTCTCGGTTTTGCTCGGGCGCTGCTCGGGCTCCCCTAATCATCTTGTTCCTGCGGCTCCCCGGTCCTTTTCTCGGCTCCGCGGTCGTGTTCCATGTCGTCTTGCCTCGGTGTGTCTTGGCCTTGTTCCTTGGTCTCCCCAGAAGGTGTCCGTGTCCGTGGGTTCCCCGGTCGTTGCAATGCCAATCAAAGGCACACAAAGCAAGGCAAAGCAGTGCCAGGCAACACAGAGCGACGCCAAACAATGTCAAGCAGTGCAGAGCAATGCAAAGCAGTCCCAAGCACCGATTCCAAGCAATGTCAAGCAACGCCCAGCAATGCAAAGCAAAGCAAAGCAATGCCAAGCACTGCCAAGAAATACTAAGCAATGCCAAGCAATGTTTTGCATTGAATTGCTGTGCGTTGCTCAGAGCTGTTCTGAATTGCCTCGGAAGGGTGAAGACCATAATTTGGGTCGCGCCGGGTTCCTCTGATTGTCTGTGGGTATCACGAGGGCTTGTTCAGCCCTCTCTATGAGAGAAGGGCGATGCTGCGAGCTTGCAGGCACGGCCTTCACTCAGATGAGGCCACAGAATCTCTTGACTTCTACTTCACATCAACTGAACAATCAATGGATTACGTTGCCGACCGTCCACGACCACGGCGCAAGGCCGTGGTGACTTCGGGTGCGATGCAGGAGTCCGCGGACGATGAGAGCGACGTGGGTTCCAGCGTTAACGTCGAAGTTAACGTCGAAGAGCAGCCTACCAAACTTTATCCGCGGTCCTCGACGGCAAGCTCGAATGCCATGCACGACTCGGACCAGCCGTACGAAGTTAAGGTTCCCAAGAAGTACATCAAGCAGTTCCTGAAAAAGGAACCCCTGGAGGGGGGGGGGGGGCGGGGGCAGGGGGACGGGGCGGGGCGGGGCGGAAGGGGGGGGTGAGGAGGGGAGAGTGGCGGGATGGGGTGGGAGCGGAGGAGGGTGGCAGGAGACAGGCTGAGGATCGAGGCTTCTGGGCCAGAGGCCCCATGGAGACCTCCCTGGGGGACCGCGGAGAGATCTCTGTCTGGAGGTGGGGCGCCAAGGGGACCGCCAGCTCCAGCAGCAGGCCTCCACCCGCGGCCGTCTTCGCCCTGCCTTCCCCAGCGGCTGCCTTCGCCAGCAGTCGTCTTCTGGAACGATACAGAGAAGATTAGCATGGCCCCTGCGCAAGGATGGCACGCACAAATCGAGAAGTGTACAGTCGGTGGGGAGGGGCTCCGCGTTCCCTAAGTGTTTCACAGCTTGCCTCGGGCTCTCCTTATGTCTTCGACCGGAAATCGAAGGTTGACTTATGGAAAAAAGGTGCCTCGTTCCTTATTTAGGGTTCCTTAGGTCAACGCCCCGACTGTATCCTCACCAGGCCGCCTCCGCCCACGGTCGCCTCGGCCCGCGGGCAGCTTCGCGCGAGCGCCTCCGAGGGCTGTCGTCTCCGCCGGCCGTGCGCCCGAGCCGCCAGGGTCTGGCCGCCGGACCCGCCCGCCGGGGCGCGCCCGCCCGAGATGCACATCTGGCAGGCCAGCCACAACAACTGAGGGAGCTGTGGTCCTTACCCCCCCGGGGGGCCCCTCGATTTCGACGCCCCTCTCAGGTCGTCGATGCGATGGGTTCCTCCAGGGGGGGTGAGGGCCAGAGCTCCCCCAGCTATGGCTGATCGGGCTGGCCTGCCGCTGTGGTCGTTTGCCAGCGCGCGCGCGCGCCCCGTCTCATTTCCCGCCCGTTCGGGTCCGCCCGCCCGCCCCGCCCGTGGCCCCTCCCGCCATCAGAACCCCGCTAGCCCAACCCGCTCGCTCGGGGCGCGCCCACCCGACTCGCCCGGCGGGGTCTGCCCGTCCGGCGCAGACGAGACCGCCGGCGAAGGCGACCGCCGGCGAAGGCGGCCGTTCGGCGAAGACGACCGTTGGCGAAGGCATCAGCTGGCGAAGTGCCCCAGGGGGGAGGGGGAGTAATTACGGGGAGTAGGGAGGGGAGGAGGAAGACGCGGGAGGAGACGGGGAGGAGGGGGAGGAGGAGGAGGAGGAGGAGGAGGAGGAGGAGGAGGAGGAGGAGGAGGAGGAGGAGGAGGAGGAGGAGGCGAAGACGACTCGTGCCCCAGTCGCCCCGCACCCCGGGAGAGGAGCTGCAGGAGGCCGGCGCGTGCATGGCACTGCCGATCGTCATCCTGATGTTCGCCTGCTTCTGCCTGGGCACCGTCGGCTCCACGAGCCACTTCAAGACCGAGCAGCTGCACTCCCAGGAGACAGCGCGGCGAGAAGAACGCGCCAGGGATCACCTCTCAATTTAGGCCAAACTAGGTGGCCCGTCTCGGGGCCGCGGGGGAGGGGGGGGAGATCAGGATGAACCCTGAGGGGTCCAGAGACAGATCTTGAGCGGGCACGAGGTTCGAAGGATTCGAGGGTCGAAGACTGAGATTGTTACACGATTGTTCGCCCTTCTCGAGCTTGTCGCCACGACTGGGTTCCCCTCCAAGTTATGGTCCGAGCACCCCTGAAGGGATCAGGGGGCCGATTTCTCAGGGTCGCCATGAAGGAAATTCGGCCATGGAGGACATGGGCCCTGGACGTTTTTCTCCGTTTCAACCGTCCCAGAGCCCTCCCTAGGCCCCCAGGGCTGTACCACAAATGACGAAGAGTTGGTCCTGGGGAAGACCTGGTGTCCAGCCCTTGCCTTTTCCTTCACGCCGACAGGACTACGCCATCTCGTTCGACATCGAGGAGAACGCCAACTTCGCCTTCGCGGGCAGCATCCCCTTCGAGATCGGCCGCATAGGCTGGAAGAACATTTACGACGTGAACTCGGTCGCGGATTTCTGGTCCTGGCTCGCCAGATCCCAAAAATGGAGCACGCCCCACAACCGTGGCAGAAGTGAGGATAAGGAGTAGGAGAAGGAGGCGGAGGAGGAGGAGGAGGAGGAAGAGGGAGAGGAGGAGGAAGAGGAGGAGGAGGAGGAGGAGGACGAGGATTGATTGATTGATCACTTCACTGAGCAGGAGGCCAGGACAAGAGGGAGGAGGGAAGCGGCAGGCGAGCCAGCTCGGATGCAGATGGCCAACCGACCCACAGGGGCAGAGGCCACCCACGACGCCCTGGCAGGCAGATACCGATAGCCCCCAACCAGCCGTCGAGACCTGGCAAGTCCTCTCGAGAATCCGGCAGGTGGCCCCAGCCGTCCGTGGGCACCGGGCCACGTCTGCAGCTGGGTGCCGCCCACGGCGGCAGCGTACGCTCAACATCCCTGGGGGCGAAGCTGCGTAAGCCAACACAGCCGAGTCCAAGGCTGGTGCTGGAATGCTGTGGACGTTGTGGGAGAGTCAGCTGCAGGGCTGGTATCCCACTGGGTGGGACGGCTGCTTTCCCGAAGCCCCCGGCCAAATTCACCACCCGACCCCAACGAGCACACTACATCACACAACTCGCGCGCTCATACAAACTCGACGAGCTGCACCGGCTCTTTCATGTGCACCTCACCACGTTTGCCGTCTGGGTGCGGCCCACGGCGGATGCGGCTGAGATTCGAGGCAAGGCGGGATGAGTGCGGTCCTTCCTTGCAGTCTTTGGCCAACCCTCTCTGACGGCCCCACAACGCATGCGTATGAGGAAGATTCGATGCCCTGTTCGGGTCTACCGCCACGGCTCTCAGCGTAGCATTTTTCCCCCGTGGCAAGCTGTGGCCAGCGCCGGAGGGTCGGAGCGGACCCTGACAGGGCAAGTCGTACGTCGGGCATGTCCTTCTACAGGAGGAATGTTCAAAAAGGAATCCGAAATAGTCTGGAGACAAGTTTCTGACTACCTTTGACAATTGACATATATATATATAGAGAGAGAGAGAGAGAGAGCGAGAGAGAGAGAGAGATTCCTCTTCCTATACTGTTATAAGCCCGGGCGGGGGGAAAACCCGTCACCCCCCCCCAAAAAAAAACGGATTCCCGGGATCTGGGGCTTTGGGACCTTCCAGACGGGCCTCGAAGCGGCCACTGGGCCTCACATGGCGTTTTGCCAAGCCTTCCCAGCACACCTAGGGCGATCAGGGGGGTCATCGGATACGTCCCAGAGGCCCCCAAGACAGCACAAGAGCGCCCCGAGAGTGACCTACGTGACCTCAAGATGGCCCAAGAGGCCTCCAGGACGGCCCCAAAGAGGCCTCCAAGAGCACTCCCAAGAAGGCCCCCCGAGGCAAAAATCATTGATTTTCTGTTGGTTTTTGGTGAATTTTAGGGTTCTCCTCTTTTCGGCTTCCCGACGCTCCAAGACGGCGGTCTTCTGGGCGTCCGAAGCCGCCTGGGAGGCTCCAAAATCGCCCCACAACCATCCGAAAGGGCTTCCAGGCAGTCCAAGAGAGCCCCAAAACGGCACAACACGGGTCCAAGATGGCCCTCAGAGAGCCCCATGGCGGCCCAAGATGGCCCAAAGACACCCTCCGAAGAATTCCAAATCGTGATTCGGTCGTTCAGGGAGACCGCGGTTGGAGGCAGGGTGGCCCGAGGAAGCCCCCGGAGGCCCCCAGAATACGCCCAGGAGGTCTCCAGAAAGCCTTAAGAAAGCCTGAAACAACTTTTGTGAGGCCCCTAGAGGCTCTCCAAGGAGGAGCCTCCGCAAAAAAGAGCTGAGGAGGATGGGGAGAATGCGCAGGGCATGGCGAAAATAAGGAAAAAGAAGCATGGAGGAAGGATAACGAATAACATTATTATAGCGGCGATGCCAGAAAAGGCAACCAGGAGTTATCGCTAAATTGTCGGTTTGACCTTCCTGCTTTTCCGCCTGCATACCAAACTTCAAGGACCAAGGTGCATGGCGCGAAGTTCGCGCGAAGCGCCACTGCAGTCTTGTATATATATTTATATGTGTATATATATATATATATGTAGTTATGTAGTTATGTGTATGTATGGGGACATGCCCGACCTAAGGCAAGTCATGCATGCCCACCTTCTGCGGATCCACCGGAAGGTGTGGCCGCCATGCGGGTCAACATGGGGGACAGGGGGAGGGGCAGAGAGGGCAGAGGAGGACGAGGGCGGGAAGGGTTTGGGAGGATTCGTCCCTGTGGCGCTTCGGGCAGTACCTCAAGACCTGCCGCAATGCCCATTACATGATGAACTTGTGGAGGGGAGCCTCCACTTCCCCCAGCCACTGCCGCCCTATTCAGCCTCTCTCTGTTCCGAATGGGTGTATCCCTGCTTCAGAGAATGAGGGCGCGGCTGACATAGACTAAGTATGACTTGAGAGCAGAACACTGGTCAAGTTCGAGCTGTGATTCGGCTAGCGCAGGCTGGTTGTGAGAAAGCGCCGCCGACTTTGCAGCAGCGTCCGCAAAATTCTTCCCACAACAGTGCCACGACTCATCATAAGCCTCGTAAATCTGCCAGCATCTCGATTGGCTCTGACTTTGTCAAAGGACACCTGCGTACTTCTCCCACGAAGGCGGCCGACCGACAGGGCACTCATTCCAGCGCAGCAGGAGGTTTGCTCATACAGTTTGGACGGGGACCACTGCGAAATGCCAACCACGCCTGCGCAGTCGGTCATAGCTGCTGTCATCTTCGCGCAATACTCACAGGCAGCCAGAGATGCGGCATGCTCTGCGGCAGCCGAGGTTTGGGGGATGCGCCGACCCACTCTGCCCCATGAAATGTCATATAACTCCCCACTTGCAGTCAGAGAGACATGGCCCATGCAATGAAAATAAAGCTTCCCTGCTTTGAAGCACGACCGATGAGGAGGAGGAGGAGGAAGAGGAGGAGGAAAAGGAGGAGGAGGGGCGAGGACGAGGACGACGAAGGGAATGAGGACAAGCTGAGGCGGAGGAGGAGGGGAGGAGGGTGAGGAGGAGGAGGAGGACGCCGACGATGACGGCTGCGGCGGCGACGATGGTGAAAAGAGGCGGAAAGAGGGGGAGGCGGGCGGAGGAGAACGACGAGGGGAGCAAGGAGGAGGAGGAGGAGGAGGAGGAGGAGGAGGAGGACGAGGAGGTCTAAGATGAGCAGGATTGCGAGGACGCCGAGGATGGGTAAAAGCGGGAGGAGGTAGAGTTGGAAGGAGGAGGCAGACGTTCACGACGAAATTAAGGATGACAATGAGGACATTGATTTCTCCTCATTCTCCTCGTCATCTCATCCTCTCCCTTATCCTCCCTGTCGTAATCGTAGACATCAGTACCACGGTTTGCCGTACGAGCCTCATTGTTGCCGATCGTCACCACCACGAGCAACAACGGATACGCCTGACCATCCGCAGATGCATGGCATCGTCGTCGTTGTCAAGATCCTAATCAGCATCACCACATGGAAGAGCACAGAAACAATAAATACATCAGACCACCATGCGAACGCTGCGAACGCGGAGCGATACGAATTCATCCCACTTCGTATCGGTGAGACCGGCCGGAGAAGGGGAGGACGAGCAGGAGAGCAACAACGATCTAAGGAGTGAGTGCGTGGCCACGTCAACCCCGCCGGTGCGCAAGGGCACGCGGGGTGCAGCGAGCAAGCAAATACGAGCACGGTGAGAGCAACTCATGCAGCATGCGCGAGAAGAGGGAGAAGAGCGACGGAGGGACAAGAGCGACGGAGGGAGAGGGGAGGGAGAGGGGAGGGAGAGGGGAGGGAGAAGAGGGAGAAGAGCGACGGAGGGGAAGGGAGGGGGAGGGGAACGGACCTGCCGGCACACAGCTTCGATCCGACATGGAGCCGCCTCGCTCGGGGGTGAGCGAGGAGGCGACAGGAAGCGGAGGCGGAGAGCCGGCCAGCCCCCAGCAGGGCTGGCCGGCGCGACTTCTCCAGGAGGCGAGGAGGAGGAGGGGGAGGAGGAGGAGGGGCAGGAGGAGGAGGAGGAGGAGGAGGAGGAGGAGGGGGAGGAAAGAGAAGAGGTGGGAGGATGTTCCAAGCGGACTTTGGATGCAACGAGTGCGTCTGCGTGTCCTGCAGTCGCCGACTGTTCCGCGTGAGCGATCGTTTGAAAGCCTACTGAGGGGCATCTTGGCCTGGCTGGCCCGAGAGCCCTGTCAGAACTCGAAACTTCCAGCTGGCCTAGACTAGATGGCCCGGCGACTCATATCGGGAGGACGAGAGACAGGAGAAGGAAAGGAGAACAAAAGAGGAGGGAGAGGGGTGACCAGAGGACACCACGCCGAACTCCGAAGCTCCACCGTGCACCCGCACGCCGACCAGCCGGCCAGTCCCCCGAGGGGCAGAAATTCGGGCGGTTGCTTCAGCCCAGGAGTTGCTGGCGCGCACATTCCAGGGGGGGAAATGTCGCTTCTTTCCTTTGTCCCCGCGGCGCGGGCGCGTTTGCCCGCGCCCCTGCCCGGTGCCCCGGGTGGACGCGGCACTCGACATTGGGCGACCTGCTTGCAATGTAAGGCGTGGGGCTGCCCGACCAGAACAGGCAAACGCGGCGCGGACATCAACGAGCGGGGCTCAAGAGACGGGGGTCAATGCAAACGGGGTCAGCCAGAGTGCGGGATCTCGCGGGATCTTGCAGGGCCAGGGTCCCATTGACCGGGCTTGGGCACAGGATCCTGCAGGATCTCGCGGGATCCTTCTCACGGACCCAGGCCTGGGTGCAGGATCTTGTAGGACCCTGTACAGTGCCGTTTTAATACATGCTCCGCGTGCGGATCATGTGTTCAAAATGCAGGGATTTAGTACTGAAAACAACGATGGGTTCGTGCATACATTCATTCATACATTAATCATGTATTAAGAATCTTATACTTTTAAAACCCTATATATTAAAAGCTGCCCTGTAAGGCCTGCCGGACCCGGGTCTGGATTGACCCGGGCCAGAAGTTCCGCGAAGCGAGGTCCGCGCGGAGGAGCGCGGAGGTGGGCCTCCTTGGCGGCGCCTCGGGCGCCGCTCCCGGTGGCGCTCCGCGCGCCGTGGAAGGAGGGACCCCCGAGGAACTTCGACATCCACAGCTCGGGCGGCACGTCGCCATCGCAATCGCCTCGCGCACGCCCCGCATCTCGGAGGAGGAGGAAGAGGACGAGGAGGGGAGGGAAGATGAGGGAGAGGAAAAAGGGAGAGGAGGAGGAGGAGGGAGGAGGAGGACAGCGCGCACCGGACCTCCGGAGGGCGCAGGCTGCTGCCGCGCCTTCGCCTGCGGCTGCAGGCGCTGGGCAGCCAGGTCGTGCGCCTCTCTGTCGCGGGCCCGTCCAGCTTCGAGCAGGAGATCGGCTGCAGAGATGCTGCGCCCCAGGGATGCCCATGCCCGCAGGATCTGCGAGCGACACGCAGGGAGAAGGTTCGCAGATCTACAGGACACGTCACACCATTGTGCTTCGCAAGCCCGACGGAGACTTCAATGTTGGGGCAGATCGGCTCTGCGGCCGAGCTCCTGCTCGAAAACTGATGCGGCGCAAGAGTTATGATGTTCCAACCTACTTTAGCCTTGACCACGAGAAAGAATTTCGAGCACCAGAAACGTACCCAAAAACTCGAGGGTTCTGACGTGTCGGGCCCTGGAAGACGCTCGTCCGACACCGTCTGGACGCTGTCCCGGACACTTCTTCCGGGTGCGCGAAATTATTTTTGGGATGTGGGCCTTAGGTGCGATGGGAGCAACAGACCGCAAGAGGAAGCAAGGGTTGAATCGGGCGTGTCCCTCTACAGGAGGAATATCACAAAATTGCCCAAAAATTGTCTGGGGACGATGCTTCGATCGTTTCTGAGCATCTGCGGTGTACGCTTGGAGTGTTTTTTCCTGCTTTCGCTCAAGATCCGCCTGTCACGGGACACGCCCAACGTAAAGCAAGGGAGGGAAAGCAGGGCGGCGGCCGCGGCGGGGGCGCGCGCGCGCAGCGACGGAGCGGGCAGGTACCGTGTGTCCTCGGCTCGGGGGCGGGCCGGGGCGGCGCACGAGCACCCCCCTTGGCGCCACCCGACGGCCCAGACCCCCACCACGGGGGGCAACAAAAGAATCCGGAGGGGAGAAGACAGAGACACGACTCATCGTCGATTCCCAGGCCAAGAGGGGGATAGATGGACAAAAGGGGGGGAAAGACGAAAACCCCAAAGAGATACAGGAAAGCAGGGGGAATCCTGGGATTCGCGCGTGTGTGTACTTATCGGTGTGTCCCAGGGCACCTTGAAAATGAGACTGCTGCACCGTCTGGTCTGGCCTTGGCGGTGGCCAGCCCCAGGAGACCGGAAAGCCGGACAGGCCCAGAGGCCACCGCTCGAGCAGCCCCGCAGGGCCAGAGAGAAGAGACGGCGCGGGACCCAGCAGATCTGCAGACATGGCCACGCATGCCCCGCAACCTCGACGAAGGTTTCCATTCCGGGGCACAGCAGCTCTGCAGCCGAGCGCCGACTCGCAAAGCGGTGCAGCGCACGAGGACGCGAGGGGAGAGGGCGGCGGCCGAGGCGGGAGGAGCGAGGAGGCGCGGGGCCGGCGAGGAAGGCCGGCGAGAGGGCGCGGCGGCCATCACCGCCATCGTGGCCATCGGCGGCATCGTCACCGTCATCGTCATCAACTATATCACCATCATCGTCATCATCGTTAATCATCCTCATCGTCATCATCAGCATCGTCATCGTCATCGTCATCACCAACTATGTCACCATCTCATCATCCTCATCATCAGCAGCATCATCATCAGCATCATCGTCATCGTCATCGTCATCGTCAGCATCATCATTATCATCATCAGCAGCAGCATCGTCATCAGCATCATCATCGTCGTCGTTGTCGTCATCGTCATCATTATCATCGTCATCCTCATAGTCATCAGAGTCGTCATCATCATCGTCGTCGTCATCGCCATCGCCATCGTTATCATCATCATCAGCAGCAGCAGCATCATCATCTTCGTCATTACCAACGATCATCAGCATCATCGTCATCGTCACCGTCATCATCAGCATCGGCATCGTCATCGTCATCATCATCATAGTCGTCATCATCATGATCGCCGTCACCGCCGTCATCGTCATCATCATGATCATCATCAGCAGCATCATCATCAGCCTCATCAGCAGTAGCAGCATCATCATCAGACCGCTCGGCCCCTCCGCGCCAGCCGCCCCCCTGCGTCCTCGGTATCCCTATATCTGTCGTCGCCGCCTTCTGCGTCGTCTACTCGTCGCCTGCGGCCCACCGTCCTGTTCGACGCACTGAACGACGCGGTGCCCAGCGTGAAGGCGACCGACCTGCTCGACGAGCTTCCCTACGCGCTCGACCCCGACGTTTCCGATGACAGCTTCGACGACGTGGCCACGACTGATTGGCACACCCGCACTGGCTCGCAGCACGCGCTCGGCACACTGGCTCGCAGCACATGCTCGGCCCCCCCCGCCTCTTCCTGGCCGTTGCCGCCTGCTTCGTCAGCACCGTCGGCACTGATGGCGTCCACGACCCATCCTCTTGCCCAAAAGTAGTCCAAAAGCAGTATGGGGGCTATTCTTGGAGTATGTTTTGACCATTTTGGAGCCTTTTTGGGGTATTTTTTCATCTTTCGTCAAAAATCCCCCTGTAGGGGGACACGCCCGACCTAATCCTACTCCGACGCCGCCGGTGCACCACTTGCACGACCGAGATCGCAGCAAGCACGACGATGACTACGGCAAGGGCGATGACAATTGACAGTACACGCACGTCGAGGACACGTGCACGAAATTCGTCGCGTACGACCTGCACGCAGACACGATCGACACCACGTTCGGCGACAAGGCGCTTCCTGCTTCGTTCTGCCCCTCGCCTCTTGATTCTTCAGCTCCTGCGGTGGCGATGGCATATGCTCACCCCAATTCTTGCACGTCTGCGCCGGCTCCTACCACGACGCCTTGGCACCACGCACAACGCAATTTCGACGAGCACAGCGTTGAATTCGGCAAGCTCGTTGACAACTTCTGCGGCAAGCGCTCCGACGACACGCGCGCGAAGCTCGTCACGCATGGCCTGCACGACATGCACGACAATGGCACCGACAAGACCAAGCGCAACGGCAAGTACGACCACATCCTCTGGGACACCTCTGAGCACTTCGTGAATGGCCGCCTCGCGTCGTCAACGACTACACCTTCAACATTTAAAAAATCCAGCCCAGTGCTGGCGCTTGTCTCTCTAGCCTGATCGCGGGACCTGGCGAGACCTCCCTCCTCCTCCCACCTGTACTGACACCATCACCATCATCACCACCACCACCATCATCATCATCGCCATCATCATCATCATCACCGACATCAGCATCAACATCGCCGTCAGCATCGCCTGGGTATTCATCATACTCGCCATCATCGCCGTCGCGATCCCCATCATCACAAGAACCACCATGTACAGTCCCCCGCGCGCACCCCTTTCGCAAGCATCATCACCATCGGCATCATCAGCATCATCATCGGCATCATCATTGTAGTCGTCCCCCCATCATCATCGTCACCGACATCACCACAACCAGCATCAGTATCATCATCGTCGATATCATGCCCCCCTTTCTCACCATGATGATCCTGTTCCCCCTACACCGTCTTCGTTTTCCTCCTCCCCCATCCTCGTCCTCCTCGCTCTTCAGCTCCCCGTCCTCCAGACCTGTAGTGGCAGGCGTTCTGACCAGCTTTTCGGTAGGCGGCCAGAGGAGGAAGAGGAGGAGAAGTTGGAGGAGGAGGAGGAGGAGGAAGACAAGAAGGACCTTCCACTCTTCCCTCTCCCCCGCCCCCAGGCTCAACTTGGGGTTGCTGCCCATCTTCTTTCCGGCCGCGCGCAGCTGGGACACTTCCGAGAGCCGCTCCAACGTCGCAGCCCAGTGCGAGTCGTTCAAGAGCTCCCTCGAGGCGTGAGGAGGAGGAAGAGGAAGAGGAGGAGGCGCAGGAGGAGTGGGCGGGTTTTTCTCTGTGGTCTTGGGCGCTTGCTTTTTTTTTGTTTGCCTCCAGGGGCTTCTGGAACCCCCCAGAAGGCTCTTGGACCCTCTGGAGATTGCCAAGGCCTTGCGGCCGGTGCCGCCGACCCCGAAGGCAGGGGACGACGACGACGGCGGCGGCGACGGCGACGACGCTGACGCGGGCCAGAGTCCTCAGGGATGTGTCTTGGGGTCTCTTCGGAAGGCTCCCGGGGGCCCCTGGGGAGGAGTTTGGCGGCCTCTTAGGAGCCTCTTGTGGGCCTCCTGGGGCCACTGGGGCCTCTTGGGAACCTCTTTGGGCCTCCTGGGAGCCTCTCGGGGCCGAGGGCCCGAAATGTCCGTGCGAGGAGAAAGAGGAGGAGGAGGAGGAGGAGGAGGAGGAGGAGGAGGAGGAGGCGGATGCGGAGGAGGAGGAGAAGGAAGACGAGGAGGAGGAGGAGGAGGAGGAGGAGGAGGAGGAGGAGGAGGAGGAGAAGGAGTAGCGGGAGAGCAGCGAGGGGGAGGGAGTAGGAGCAACCAAGGAGGGTGGTATTCTGCCCCGGGGCCTCTCCTGGGATTTCTTCTGGGACCCAGCCCGCGACGGTTCCGGGACCCGCCGCCCTTCCCGAACGCGGGAAAGGGATGACAAAGAAAGAGTTTCTCTTCGATCCAATGCGAGCGGGTGGGAGCAACCAGGCAGAACGACGAGGGGGGAAGGAGCAGAGAGAAGGAGTGTGGGAGCAGAGGAGGGGGGTAGGGGCAGCAGGGAGGAGCTGGGGGGGGAGGGGGAGGGGAAGGAGGAGGTGGAGGAGGAGGCGAATGCGGAGGAGGAGGAGGAGGAGGAGGAGGAGCGAGAGGAATGCCGAGGAGGAGGAGGAGGAGGAGGAGGAGGAAGAGGAGGAGGAGTGGGGGAGCAGCGAGAGCAAGCGAGTAGGAGCAACCAATTCTGGACGCCTCGGCCCTCGACAGAAATGGGAGGGAGAGGGCGGGGACAAAACCTTTCCGAAAGTCAACGATCCTGGCCTCTCCGGGCCTTCTTGAGAGTCCTTCTGGGGCTCTTTTGACCCGGCTGGGGGCCCCCCTTGGCCGTCCTTTTGCGTTCTTGGGCTGTCTTGTGCGGCTTGGGACGTCTAGGTGCGCTCTTGCGGATCCATCGTGGCGACCGCCCCCCCCTCCCCCAGCGCATCTACAGGGGGCCCTCTGCAAAAGTCGCAAACGGGGGATAGTATTCTGACCCGGGATCCCCCCCCCCGGGACCCTCCCCCCCCCCGGCCGGGAAGGGATCAAAGGGAAGGGGCTTCCCTTCGACTCAATGACAACGTTGTTTTCGCTTTGGCTGGGTTGCTTCACTTTGGCTGGCGCGCTTGAGGACGAGGGCCCAGGGAAAGAGGGTGGGAGCGGCGACGGACCCAGAAAAGAAGACAACGAGCAGTTACGTACGAGGGCAACAACCACGACGAACAACCCATTCCACACGCCGACAGGGTTGACGGATTCTTGGTGACCTCCAACACTTCTGGGGGCCTGCAGACATGCTGGATGGAGGCAGAGGAGGAAGAGAAGAAGGAAGAGAAGTGGGGAGGAGGAGGCGCACGATGGCGAGGACGAACAATAGCAAGAGGGCGAGTTGGGGTTGGGTTCGAAGTATTGGTCTGCCTTTGGGGAGATCTCGGGGGATGGGGGGCCTCGTCGCCATGGCTCGCTCCGCGGCGAAGTCCTCGTCAGAACGCGTTCCGGGAGAGGTCCGCGGATCGGTCCTGAGGGACGAGGAGGAGGAAGAGGAGGAGGAGGAGGATCAAGAAGAAGAAGAAGGAGAGAAGAAGAAGGGGAGGAGGAGGAGGAGGAGGAGGAGGAGGAGAAGGAGGAGGAGGACGAGGAGGATGAGGAAGAGGAAGAGGAAGAAGAAGAGAAGAAGAAGAAGAAAGGTAGGAGGAGGAGGAAGAGGAGGAGGCAGAGGAGGAGGATGAGGAGGAGGAGGAGGACGCCCACTATAACCAAGGTTCTGCGTGCGGATTCGCCCACTGCAGATTGGTCCAATCGGCGTTTCGGGCTGCGACGTGCGCACGCGTCTGGGAGCGATGGCGCGTCTGCACGGACAAGCTGCAGGTCCAGCAGATACGGCAGGTTCGTGTCGTGTCGACTGGCGGCGACCCCGCCAGCGGCGTTCCACTTTGAACGCCGCGGGCGACACAGACTCCTTCGATGTGGAACGAGTTAGACGTTTCGGAAACGGCCGATCGTTCCAGGTGGAGAGATCCCCGCGGTGTCAGAAGCCGACGCCGAAGTCGGCACGACACGAACCCGACGCATCAAGCAAACGAAACATGAGCTAGGGCGCGTGGATCAGAGGCAGGTCCCGCTCTCTCGGGCCGGGCGAAAGGGGGGGATTGTGAAAGGGGGGGGTACGAAATTTGTTGCATGCAGCTAGTTTCGGCTTCACCGAGGGGCCCATTCCTCGATACATAAGCCGCCTCCGGCGCCGGGAGGGGGCGGGAAAATCAGCTACGTGAGCTGATTATCAAACCCCCCTTTGCTATCCCCCCCTTTCGCCCGGCCCGACTCTCGTGCAGCATCGGAGAGCCGCGTCGCCGAGCGAGGTGGCGCCCGCGCCAGGTTTCTACGGGGGGGCACGCACGCCCCGAACTCCGTGGGGCTCTCGGCGCCCGCGCGCCCAGAGGTCCGCGGGCCCCCCTCTGGGCCCTGCTGGCGTGCGCGCGCGAAGACGGCAGGAAGAGCCACGGCGTGCGCGAAGGCCTGCTCGAGCGTTGTGATGTTCCAATTTGGGTATGTCTGGGGGGGCAGCACTAAGTGAGGGCCCGAAACGCACCACCCTCGACGCCCACACTAGCGCCCACACTTGACGCACACGCTCGTGCCCTACACTCGCACGCCACACTCGCCCCTTGCACTCGGCCCCCGCACTCGACCCCCGCACTCGGCCCCCGCACTCTACGCCCACGCTCTACGCACACACCCGCACTGCACTGGATCACCAGGAAGAGTTCCAAGCACCAAGAGAGTACCGAGATCTGGGGGTGTTCACGTGTGTCGGGCCTTGGGAGGCGAGACTCGTTCGACACGGCTTCGATACTTTTCTGGGTGCTCGAATTGTTGTTCTGGGATGTGGTCCTCAGCTACGATGGGAACAACATAACTCGAGCGTCTGACCGATCACCAGCTGCGCCCGCGAGGCTGGCCGGACGCCGCGCCTCAGCCCAGCGCATTTTGGCGGCGAGCGAGGGGAGGAAGCGAGGAGGAGAAGGCCTTCTCAGAAGGCTCGGAAGTCCACTGGCCTTCTGAGGAGTGTTCTAAGCCTTCCCCGGAGTCCCAAAAAAACTTCTCAGAAGGCGCGAAGGCTTGCGAGAAGCCCCGCCGCCCTCTGAGAAGGCCTTCTCCTTCTTATTTCCCCCCTCGCTCGCCGCCGAGCATCAGCCCAGCGCCCAACCTGGCGCCACTGGCGCAGCGGGCTGCTGGACAGGGGTCCCCACCGCCACGACGACCTCGCTGGCGTGTGCACGGCCAAGTGGGCCGTGCAAACGGGCCCGCCGTGCACAACGGCCTCGCAGGCCCAACGGGCATGTCCGCGGCGGGCTGCTGGTCCTGCAGCTCGTTGCCAGCAGCACGGAGGCATGGCTGGACGTCCTGACGTGCGGCGTCCCTGAGCTGCCGGACTGCTCGATCGACGTCACCGTCGGGCACCGATCGACGTCACCGTCGGGCACCTGGTGTCTGTGGCCTACCAGCCTTTGGGCCTCAGGCAGGCGCGTTTGGCGCAGGCCGCCGCGCAATTGTCCAGTAGGGCCTCCGCAGGCGTCCAGCCATGCCCCCACGCCGCTGGCAGAGAGCTCGGAGACAGACAGCTCGGACGCGGGCATGCCCGCGAGGCCTCCGCGGGAGCTTCCGCGCAGACTTCGGCGAGGTCGCCGCCGCGGCGGGTCCAGAATGGGCTGCGCTCGCATGACTGCGCGACCGCCCTCCTGCACAGACGCCTTCTGGACCGGGCGTTGCGCCCGGGGCGGGCGGGCATGGCGCGGGAGTGCTCAGGCCAGAGCTCACGGCGGCCTTGGCCAACACCACCCGCGAGGGCGGCGCCGCAGAGAGCGAGGGAGCGCGGCAGTGCACTCCGCGCCCGCAGGTGGCACCGCCGCGCCCGCGGGTTGGCGCCGCAGCACCCGCGGGCGAGTGCAGGCGGCGCGCCGCGGCCACGTGCTGCGCGCACCCCCCCCCCCGAGGAGGTCCTGCTGCCCGGGGACCTCCACGCGCAGCGGGTCGCTCGCACTCCTCTGGGGCATGATCTCCAGGGCAGCACCGGGCGGCCGCGCCCCGCGAGGGCGCCGGGGCCCCAGCGGCCCACCAGCGGCTTGCCTTTTGGGCTCGGCGCGGCGCGCCGCCACCTCTGCGGCCCACCGCGCTTCGGCGCGACACGCGCTCCCCGCCTCCCGAGCGTCCAGGCTTCCCCGAGCCTGTCTCGCAGCCCCTCCCGCCCCGCGGGGCGCGGAGCGCCGCGCGAGCCTCCGCTCGGGGCACGGCGCGCCGCCGGGGCGCAGGGTGCCGTCGTCCGCGACGGCATCGACGGCGCCGTCGCGCTGTTCGGCGTCGGCGCGGGCGGCCGCGGCCGCGCGACCGCCACCCGCCGCCCAGAGAGAGCGGCTGCCGCACGGGGGGCGGGGGGGCCGCCCCGTGCTCGGCAGGCCGCGCCGCCCGCGCGCCAGAGCGGGGCACCCGCGCGCGAGGGCGCGTGCGCCAGGCCAGCCGGCAGGTTTGCATGACGTGTCTGGCAAGATGGTGGTGCACACAGCTCAGCATTCAGTCGGGCCCGTCCCTTTGCAGGAGGAAAATTCAAACAATAGTCAAAACATAGTCTGGGGGCGATTTTTTGAATATGTTTGAGCAGTCTTGGGGTATTTGTTCAATATGTTTGATTTTTTCTTCCAAGATCCCCCTGTAGGGGGACATGCCCGACTTAAGCTTCGCACGGGCAGGAGAGCCGGGCTTGCAGCAGCGCTTCCCCACCCCTCCGCCACCTGCCCCAGAGGCCCCACGAGAGAGGGCCGCGCTGGCAGCACACCTGCGCACTGTACACACCAGCGCCGGGTCCAGGACAGAGTCACCGTCTGATCTGCTGGAGCCCCGCCTTGGTCTGCAGCGGCCCAGGCGCAGATCCGCCGGCGGCCGCATGGGCGGCGGGGGGGGCCGCGACGGCGCACGCGACGCCCTGGTCTACGGCAAAAGGCGTGGAGCGGCAGGGCGCGGCAGAGCGCGGCTCCCGCACCGCAGTCGAGCGCGATGGCGAGGACATTGTTGCAGAGGGCTGGAGCAGCCTGCTTGGAGGAGGAGGAGGAGGAGGAGGAGGAGGAGGAGGAGGAGGAGGATCAGGGAGCTCAGACGATCCATCAGGGGACTGGGGGAGCTCGGAGGGGGGGCTTGAGGCTTTCTTGAGGACCTGGGAGTGGTTCCAGGAGGATCCAGGCGGAGGAGGAGCAGGAGGAGTAGGAGGAGGAGGAGGACGAGGAGGAGGAGGAGGAGGAGGAGGAGGAGGAGGAGGACGAGGACGAGGAGGAGAAGGAGTAGGAGGAGGGGGAGGAAGAAGAGGAGGAGGAGGAGGAGGAGGAGGAGGAGGAGCGGTTGAGGAGGAGGAGGAGGAGGAGGAGAAGGAGGAGGAGGGGGGAGGGAGGAGAAAGCGGTGGAGGAACAGCGATGAATAGGAGGAGGCGCTCCCCCGAGGTGGCGTCCTGGCCCGAGTCGGCATCCGCCCCAGCGCCTTGCGGGGGGAGAACGGGGGGGGTGCAGGAGAAGGAAGGAGAAGAGAGGAGGAGGGAGGAAGAGAGGGTTAGGGAGAGGGGGAGATCTTCGGATCCGGGCGCCACACCGAAAGACACCACACCGTTTCTGGTCCACGACGACGACGACGACGACGACGACGACGACGACGACGAAGACGACGACGACGACGACGACGACGACGACGACGACGACGACGACGACGACGACGACGACGACGACGACGACGACGACGACGACGACGACGACGACGACGACGACGACGACGACGACGACGACGACGTGGGGGCTTTGGCTGGAGCGGGGAAGGAGGGGGGCGAGGAGGATGTAGGGAAGAAGCGGGAAAGGGGAGGGGAGAGAGGATGGGCGGGGGGCGAGGCGGGGGAGAGGTGGGCGAGGCGGGAGGGGCGAGGCAACTAGGGGTAGGAGGTGAGGCACCTTCGAGGAGGAGGGGGGACGGGGGAGGGAGGGAGGGAGGGAGGGAGGGAAGGTTAGGAGGAGGAGGAGGAGGAGAGGGGGAAGAAGAGGGGGAGGGCGGGGAGGAGGAGGGGACGGGGGAGGAGGGGGGAGGGAGTGGAGGGGAGAGGGAGTGTGGGGGGGGGGGGATATGGGGGTGAAGGCGAGGTGCGCGGGCCGCGGGCGAGGGATGGCCGATCGCCAGTCGCAGCGGTCGTCGGCCGCGCGGCGGTCGATCCCGTGATCGGACCGCCGCGCTATCGCAGGACAGGCCTGGGTGGGTCGGGTTACGATCGATTCGATATCGGTTCGATGTCGTTTGCTGAGAGAGTTGTTTTTGCGGCTGGAAGGCGTCGTCTGTCAGCGGGAGCGAATCCACGAGATCAACAATCCCATCGGAGGCACACAGAAGAAATACGAGCAGCAGGGCAGCAACAAACAAGAAATGCTCAGGAGGAGAAAAACACACAGACACGCATAAACATCGATTCCCCAGATAAGTTGGCAACTATGGGAGGGGGGGAAAACAAAAACCCAGACAGTATGAAGAAAACATTGGAATCCTGGGATTTATGTCTACTTATTTGTGTGTCCCAGGACCCCTTTAATGCCAGTGTGTGTGTTGTGTGTGTGTTGTGTGTGTGTTTGTGTCTGCGGTTGTGTTTGTGTGGTCTTCATCTGTTCATCATTCATCTGTTCGTGGCCAACCTCGCCGCAGTGGACTTCCAGTTGCGGACAGGCGCAGGCAAGTGCGAAGTGCCTCCGCTTCCACGCCGACCACAGCCTCGAGGTGCTCGGCGCGCAAATGGGGGACGCACTCTTCTGTGCGGAGCACGCCACGGAGCGCGTCGCGAGTGCTACTGCGCTGCCGGGAGCCTCAGGGGCGCTAGAGAAAGCGCAGGTAGCGCCGCACTTCCTGCGGGAGCACCCCTCCCTGTGCAGGCTGGGCTACTCGGCGCGGGCGGCGCCGCCCGCTGCGCACACTTGCCTGCCTGCTGGCCATAAACGGTGCTGCCAGGCCTTGCCGTGAGCAACGCTCGCCCGCACACACCTTCTGGCGGCAGGCTCAGCTCAAGTTCAAAAGAAGGGTTCGGCCTGCGTTCCGCCCCCGAAGCACGCCGCTCTCGCTCACATCGCTGCCCGAGCGAGGAGCGCCGACGTCCGTTGGCAGCTCTGCCCTGGCTGCTCAAACAGCGCTGACCCCGACCGGGCTAGCCTGGCGGCCACGGCGCAAGCCCACAGCGCAGCCGCGCGGGACGCCGACAGGGCGGCGTCTGACCAAGCGCAGCACGGCGACCACAAGGTATTGTCTGACGCGGTGGGCAACGCCACGGCCGACGGGTTCCTGGTCGACACCACCCGGGCAGGAAGGCCGCGCCCTTCTGTGATGCAGGCCCCAGTCGCTTGCCGCGGCTACTCGACCAGGCGCCACAAAGCCTTGCGCAACCAGGCCTTCTTCGTCGCCCTGCCGATGGCCACGCCGGGCCGGAGTCGGAGCGCCCAGGGCCGCCACTCCCGCGCCCCGCCGGGGAGGCCACCCTTGCGGCGAGCAGGGCGAGCCCCAAGTGGACGACAACGACCGCCGCCCAGCTGACGACCCTTCCCTGGTGGTGTAACGGCGACGCGGCTGCCTGGGTCTATGCCGCCGCGTTTGGGATGCGCGCCGAGTTCCTCGCCGATTCAGCCGTTTCGTCAAGCGCGCCGACAGAGCAGCGCGAGAAGTTCAAAAGGCAGCGCAAGGACACCGCGCGGCAGCGCTCGGAGCTGTGCCTCACCTCCCCCCCCCAAGGCGGAGGAAGCCCACGGCGGCGGGCGGGGCCGCGAGCCACGCGGGGCTTTCGAGGCCGTGGCCAAGCAGGTGGCCGACGCCACGGCGGAAGACGCCGCCTTGGTAGTGGACCAGCACACACAGTTGGGGAGAACGCGTGAGCAGTGTTGCGGCGCCTCCTGACAGAGTCTGGAGGGGCCGGGGCGGCCGCGGCCCGCTCGGCCGCGGCCACGGTGGCCACACGGCGGACGCCGCGTGAAGCGCCCCAGGCGCTGCCCAGCGCCCCCCCGACCACCCC